GAGGACCTGGTGGTAGTGTGAGTTTGTAGATGCTAACCTATGGACAAATTTCCAGACGCATTGCATAGAAGTTCGTTTCAATTTTCCGATTACGCAACAAAACTGCGTTAAAAGTGGTGCAGGGGGTGGGGGTGGGGTTTCACGTACATTTTGACTGATTCCAGGGACTTGAGAGAAGCCAGTGGAGCACGTTTTGTCTCGGGATGGAGAATTTTGGAGATGGCCAGTCCGGCGGGCGCCGACATTACGCATGCAATCATCAAGTCGTGCGGAGAAACCTTCAAATGACCAGTTTTTATAAAGCAGTTTCAGATTTATAAGGTAACTTTTTTCAGTCTCTACTTGACTAAACATAATGACTGCCCAACATGCACGTAGACTTGTTTTCTAACTGGGATATTCCTTGCGTTGCGCTTATAAGTAAAAGTAAATATTCCCGATTGCTTTATAAGATCAGAATAAGTATGTAAAACTTTGGGTCACTTTTGCCGATTTGACAAACGGGTTTGGTGCTTTCTTAACCTTCTTCAAGTCGAGGACAACAGGAAGCATGACATATAACGATAAATGTGTTCTAACTTTTAATTACGGTCCGAATGCTTTTTTCAACCAGGCCTCACTTTGCCGAGGCAAGATCAGGCAAGTTCATTCCATGTGACTGCCTGCGCGGGCTCTAATTGTGAGCTCCAGAGCAAAATGGAATTTCATTGTTCAACTACCAGATCGGCGATGCCCATTTATTCATCATATCCCCAATCTCAACCGACAAAGCATGGAGCCCATGGTGCGATGGTAGAGTGGTTAACTCAATGACTAAAGGTTCCGGGTTCGAATCTCGGGTGTTCCGACCCTTGTGATTGGGTATGACTGGCTGATGACGGCTAACAAGTCAGAAATGGCCATTCCCGTCCCCCTTTCCGCTGTCGGATCCATTCCCTTTTAATTAATGTTCAAAATTTTGGACAGTTGAAGGAGGTGTCCAGAAAACGTTTTAAAATACGTATTGATCGCCTTATTTACTTTATCGCTTATGCCAGTTGTTGTTACAAACCTCTGTAAATTACCACTTCATCCAATGGACATAATTTTCGAGAGCCCTGCTAACCCTATCGGCGGACTTACTTGACATAAACTCGAACATTCTAGACTTTGGGACAATAGACTGAGCAAAATGTATTTGCACATGGAATGATCATTGAACATTTACAGATAACCAAACGGACTTACCCCAAATTTAATATAGGCTGCAAGGACTGAGCCCGCGACCGACGCGAACCCGTTTACCATAATCGCATGTAGTTCCGAACCAGTCATGAGATGCAGGTAGGGCCGTGTAATCAGCGGTGCCTCGGTCTTATGAGTGTTAAAATATAGACAGTCGGTTTAAGCAAACGGTTTTGTGATTTTCATGACATTTTATAAATCGAAATACGTTCATGCCATGTGAATGAATATAAGAGAAAAGTAAGGGAGAATTTGTGAAATTAACAATCAGGGGGTATTTTAAAGTCCTCCTGATCATTTTCCTCAATAAATCTGCTTTTTCTGAACGAAGATAGCCAGACAAGCTTATAAAAAACAGAGCGTCATAGACTTCTTCGGAACAATACAGTCAGTTCCCAAACCTAGCTGTTGGAATACTTCTGCACATAATTCCCACAAAATACTTCAGCAGTACGAATACTGAAAAATATTCAGTTAGTGCTCAGAAAAGTGCACACAGAGACTTTTCAGCCTAAGAACGTACTATGTTCCGAACGGCCGTTCGTAACTCGAAATGCCCTTAGTTCGTTAATCAACCTCATTTTACATGACACTATACTCTATTCAAATTTACTTCCATACGTAAGCATACTAATACCTCAATACACATGTTTTCTGATTCTAAAATTAACCGGTAATATAGTAACGTATGCAGCTCCTTCGTTTGAATATCTGAAAGTTTGTAAGTAGTGAAGTGTCTGTGGTTGCAAAGGCGTTCATCATTAGTATTTTTATCTGAAGGTGCAAAATCTGGCCAATGAGTACTCGAGGACGCTGCACGAATCACTTTATTTTTAATAAAGTAAATCAAGTCTATAGCCGTCTAATTTTGTCATGTGCGAATCAAGGAATGAGTTGTTGCTTAACCAACAGAGACAGAAGGACATGATCTGTGACGCGGTCAGTAGGACAACGCTGTGTTTCTTAAAACAAACTGCAAACCCTGATCAACAAAGCGGGGAGACCAGCAACCAAGGTTAGAGGTGTTTACGTTGGAAAGGACTCGGTGGGGAGGGGAGACAGTTTGCGTAAGCATCCGCAGAATGTATACTATCTGTGCAAGCTCTTCTCCACTCCATCAGGAACGCAAATGTACGATGCGTTTCCGGAGCTGTACACATATTACTTTGCTTAGTTCCATGAAGCATTCACATGGATATAACAAATGAGCATACGTGAAGATGTGTAAATATTGCCTTTCTTTATTTGAGTAGGAAGTGGCCTACTTATTTAATAGTTATCACACGGCCTACCTCCAAGAAGCGTATCAAATTGTTTGAAACATTCAGCTGTACTGACTAAGCCTGAAATTTCAGTGCATACTTGTGACGGCAAAGTCGAGTGCCCTATCTCTAGACAACCCTGAACTGTGCTCAGTGGCGTGGTTTTTCAGGCTACTGTATCTACCATTGCCACAATTCCCCCCAAATGCTCTACCAAAAAGGTGACAGACCACCCCGAAATGGCCTCCTACGAAATTTGAGAGACCACTTTGTTTTTTTTTAAATTTCGATCGTCGCTCTCTGGTCGCAGACAAGAAGAGAATATTGCTTAGCCTTTGAATGTTGTTTGCGACTGTCTTTCATTTACGACCTTGAAGAGTTTTGGCGTCTCCCTCAAGTTTGAGCAATAGGTTATATTTATCCATTTTGCAGTTATAGTGCTTTCGCCAACTCCAGTGAAGGTTTTTTGAAAGGTTAAAAACCGATCGAAAAGCTAGTTTCTTTATCTACCGCGAGGAATCAAATATTTATTTACATGGGCAGATAAAACGTGCAGTTGATATGGTATATAATTGAAAGTCAACCAAGATTCTAAAATCTGTTTTCGATTAGAAAATATTACTTAAGCCATTCTTTCAGATTAATTATTGGACAGTATAATGCCAAATTAATCTAATTAAGTCGGAATGTTAACTTTTGAACGAACTTTTCTTCTTTCTCCTTTCCACACTCCGGAAAAAAGACAGTTCGTGTAGTGTGTAGTTTGCTCGTTACTTTCCAATTTCTTTATAAAATGAAATTGCCTACTACCCTAAATATACTGAACTATACTGAACTATATGTATTTTATGGAATACATACACGAAAATATCCTTTCTTCTACTCATATCTTAAAAAATGTATTTTCTTCAAGTTTTATACTTAAAAAGAATATTCTTCCCTTTTAAAACAGTTTCCAACTACGATATTTATGAGGACCTCCAAATGTCACTGCATGTAGCATCGTATTTGTCCACTTATTTACGCTTCTTATAATATATAAAACATAGTCTCCATCCATTGCAAATTTTTATAAGCCCTCTGAAACGTCTGCCTAATAGCTTAGAAAAATGAATGGTTTTCCTTAGACCGAATGCTTGCAACATATGGTTCGGCAACCTTGAATGCAAGTGTGACGGCAAGGGAGGTTCAAAATTATTCAGCAATTTGAAAGTTTTTTTTTGTAGAACCAAAAGATGCCCTTTTTTGAGAAAAAACATTGGGAAAGACGTCATTTGCTAACATGTAGGTAGAATAAAGTAAATCTTAGCACATATTTTCTATAAAATATATAAAAAATCAATTAGGAAATATCATTCTACTTCAGTCGTTTATTTTGCATGCTGTCGGAAAGAAGCTCAGTTAACAGCCGGCATCCTGAAATATTTCGGATTATGGGGCACAAAAAGTGATATTAAATCACTAACTAAGTAATATTTTTTTCGGAACGAAAACACATTTCAGACTTTCTCCAACATGATATAAGATAGCAAATCGACCATATTTGCTACGTAAACTATCTTACCATTCCCACAAACATGTTCGCTATGGCATTGAGTGTCTCCGGACCCGTTGTTCCCATTACCTTCTTTGCAAGAGCTGATGGCTTCTCAATCAGGATTGAAATCACACCAAGATGGAAGAGGATAGAAATGAAGGAGGAGAAGAAGATAACCACTGGAAGGACCTAAAAGAGAGAACGCGTTCTGAACTTTATGTGTTGTTTCTATCAGGCATGGGTTCACGAAGTTGGTGCACAACAACATTTTCTTGCAGATAGACGCACTCCCAGGCTGGAAATGTTGAGGGAACACCCCTAGGTTTTGTCTAGTGGCTGCATTACTAACTCGTCATTTTCAGTTTTATTTGGGAGGTGTTCGCGGCAAATGAGGAACAAGCAAATAAGTCCGGAAATATTGAGGTGTGTAAGCAACCTTACGCCCAATAACTTGAGACTTGCAGCAATGACAGAGAGAAAGATTTAGCGAATTCATTGTCTTTTAGAGCTTTTTTTGCACCAATTCCTGAACCGTGTCGAACATAAGGCCATAGTTAACCACCTGGCACTTACATATTTCCACTTATTTTTTGAAGGAGATAAGTTTGCGGTTTGCCGAGGACTGCTTTCATATTAGTGATGTTAGTGCCCAAGTATGGAATACTGCAAATTCTATATTCCAGCTACTGCTTCCTCTTAATT